TATTTGATGACAATCTCTGACTTCTGACAAACTCTCGAGATGTTACATATTCCAAATAAACTTGGACCAAAACACTGGAAATTCCCAGCAACTTGATCACTGTTCTATCAATTCCCCTCATGGCTACACAGCTCAAGGGTTACTTACTCCAGAAAGGCTTCCTTGATCTCACTCTGATACTTCTTGTTCTTATTTTAACACAATGTATCCATCTCCTTTATAGCACAGAATGTATTACTTTATAATTCCTATTTATTTTTATGTCTTTATCTTCTGAAACTAAAAGCCCCTCCGGGAGGGGACAGAGTCCATGTGGCAAGTGCCCCACTGCTTAGTGCCGTTTCTGACTTGCAGTGGTCCTCGCTGGGTGTTTGCAGAACGAATGAAGAAATGACTGGCATTTACAACAGTGGCCTAGAGCTGGACACAGCAGAACGTGTGCAGGCTCATTCCCCGAGGCCCTGGACTTCCAGCATTCCTACAAGTGACAAGTTCGTCCTAAAAGCTCAGGATGAATTTGGCTTTTTTGGAAGACCACACAGCTTGGGAATCACCTCTACCCTGAAAGAAAGTCTTTCGTGCAGCCCGTTTCTAATTATCCTAAAAGTCACTGCAAAGTGTTGAGACCAGTCAATGCTCATTCGTTTCAACTGATTTCACCAGAGTGAATACGTGTATAAAGCGTGCAAGTGGAAACACACGGGAAGATGGGGACACAACTGGTATACGGGGAACTGTCAAAAGGCCAGTTATGTTGGGCTGCAGGAGACAGCTGCAATAGTATTTCGCACCAAAAACATGAAAGCAGTAAATGAAACGTCTATCTTTCAAGGAGCAGAAATACAAATTTTCAGAGGGCTTTTTTGTTCCCTGAGGAAAGATTTTCCTTATTAAGTGGGGATATTTTCCCTACAGTTCGTTGTCCTATGCTAGTTCAGAGGCAAGAGAGTTCTCTGGCCTTTGTGCTTCATGCATGGTCATCTGAGCTCAAAGATCTAATTTAACAGGACTTTTCTTTTAGGAGGCCAAGAGAGGGTTAAGTTCCACTGTGTACCTAAGAGAAATAAACCCTCTCAAAATACATCTTCACATTGGAGTCACGATATCTTCCCCTCCTGGGTGCTGGGTTCCATTAAGCTCCACCTCACTGGAGAGGAGATCAGGAGGGATTTAGCTAATACTCAGCAACTTCCCTCCAAACTGAAACCAGTTGCCTGAGATTTCACGCCCCGTCGTTGGCAGGATCAGCTCTAATCAAACGGTTTATCTGTCACTGGCTTGTTTCTAAGGTGAAGCCAGCACTAGTGTGGATGCAGCGTGGCCAACAAGGGGCTCACACCAGTGGAGAACCAGATTCCCTAACCAGAGGCGGTCACGCTGGGTGGAGAAGGGGAGGCTGGAGACGATCTACACAGGAACTGAAAAATAGCCACGCTGTCTACCTGTCATTTTCAAGACCGTACAGGTGCTTTAGTAAGTTCTGTGGAACCACTCCCAGAACGGGGACTACAAACCTGTAAACATAAAGGAGACTTGAGTCTCTTCAGCAACACTGGGAGGCAGTGCAGACCACAGAAGAGCAAAGCAGACCAGGAAGTAGGGCCACGGACACAGGGTGTCTCAGAGGCCTAAGGACCCAGCACTTTCACTGGAGTGGGGAACCGGAGATCTACTGGCTTTAAAGGACCTGCCCCAGGCCACACAGTTCAGGAAGGGGCTTCTCTCAGAGCCTGGGTGGCCTCGTTCTCAGTCTAAGTGCTTTCCACAGCACAATGCTCAGTTCCCCGGGTCGTTTCTCAGCCACTGCTCTGGTTTTCAAGGATAGCAGGTCGTTATCGGTATCGCCTTCTCAGAAGGGCCTTCGTGAGCATCACACCCAAAGCAGAACCCTGCCCAAGTCAGTCCCTGTTTTATTTTTATTACTGCACTCCTATTTTTCTGTTTACTTTTTAATAACCACCCTCAGCAATGTGAGCACTACAAAAGCAGGGACTTTCTCTGCCTCACTCAACACTACTTTCAGGTCACAGGACGCTATCTGGCATTAGTTAGGGGCTCAGTAAGTGCTCAACGTTGACTAAACAAGTCAACTACTACCCTTACGGGAGTTTCTGAATTCCCAAAACAAAGGGGAAGAGTGGACAGCACGGATACCACCATTCCTGATTTCCTGAAATCCTTATGAATGCAAATCAGAGCTCCTCTCTGCTCTACAATTCTTATCAAATGACTGCCAGTGCTGCCTTCAGGAGGAGGACAGTGTGGAGGACAGTGACTTCAAAGGCTGTGGGACTGGCCCAGCAACAAGAGAAACACTGGGGACTCTGATTAAGTGAAGGAAACCACCAACTGCAGCAGCTGCTGAGAAGTGGGGTGGGGGGGGTAGGGGTAGGGGGCACTTTCCTTTTTTTTCTGGGCTAGAGTAGAAAGGACACTTTAACTTTTAGAAAAAATACGGAAGTGACCGGAAAGCACAATGATAGCTATGACATTAAAAAAGGATGTGTGAGATAAATTGTAGGACTCAAATATACCCCACCTAATCTAGTCTAAAATACTATATACCATGTTAATCGTTAAGGACACAAAACCAAACCAGGAAGTATAGACACATATTTTTTGCATGATTTGTAACAGAAGTGGCATTAAAAATTTTGGTGCAAACAGAAGATGGAGTGAATCAATGAATGTCAGTCCTCAGCACACTGCACTTGTGAGGGTTTTTCCATTTAGAGGCAGAGCATGGAAAGGCTGCTGTCCATACCTAAGGGTTAGTGATTAAAAGGACAACGTTCTTTAAAAAGAAAAAAAAAGGGGCGCCTGGGTGGCGCAGTCGGTTAAGCGTCCGACTTCAGCCAGGTCACGATCTCGCGGTCCGTGAGTTCGAGCCCCGCGTCAGGTTCTGGGCTGATGGCTCAGAGCCTGGAGCCTGTTTCTGATTCTGTGTCTCCCTCTCTCTCTGCCCCTCCCCCGTTCATGCTCTGTCTCTCTCTGTCCCAAAAATAAATAAACGTTAAAAAAAAAAAATTTTAAAAAGAAAAAAAAAAAAAAGAATGCAAAAATGAAGTACAAAAGCATGTGTATGTGCTTGCAACCAGAATACCTTTACTACGACACAGGGCCTGCGACTGTCCTCTCTGTGCTCTTAATGACCAAGCCGGGAGGCCAGCTCAGAAGAGGTTCCTCCATGAACAGCCATTAAGTGGAAGTAAACATGGACATCGTCTGTGATACTGGTTTTTGGGTCCCTTGGTTGGTCATCTATACGAAGGGCAGATCCTCTTTTCAATCAGGGAAAAGGCTGCCACTCAGTATTTAGAAGCATTTTGATATCATTAAACTATAATGATGGCATTGGAAGAACCTGGGGAATCTGAATAAAGATCATGAAAGTTTCACAGAGGAGAAGGCAACTGAGGTAGGTCTCAGTGAGGGTAGAGGGAAGAAGGAAGGCATATAAGATAAACAACCACAGGCCCTAGGTGCTACTCCCGTTGTACAGTTGAAAAGAAAGACTGAAAAGCTGAAGTAGATTGCCCCGGCAAACAGCTGACTGAAAATTTCTATTTGGCATCAAAATGTCTATAACTTTCTTTGGGAAAGTCCACTGAAATTTCAGCACCAAAGTTAAGTTCTACAAGAGGAAGCAGGGGGTCATCTGGTTCTAGCCAAGAACCAAATCTCTGCATGCTAACGCTCTCTCGTGAGGAACACTGCACATGTATCCCTTGCGTGGCAGGGGAAAACAGGCTTTCCAAGCACAGGGACAGCATGTGCAGTGCCCGCGGTGTATGTGGGGAACTGCTAATAATCTCGTTTGAACTGAGCACAGGACTCATAAGGGCTAGGTTGCAGATGAGCAAGAGGGACCGCAGGGAAAACCCAGGACGGGGCAGAGTAAATAGATCTGCGCTGAGTGGTTTGCACTTTGTCAAACAAAAAGCACTGACCATTTTTTAAGTTGGGAAGTGACACAATCAATTCGTGTTTTGGCAAAAACCCCCCGGGAGCAACACGGAAGATCAACTGGCAGAAAGGAAGCCTGGAGGTGGGAAGATTTCTGCAAAGGCTATTCTAATAATCCAGACGGCAGGCTTGAGAACCTCAGCAAGGACTGCAGCCATGATGAGTTAAGAGGGAAGATTCAACACAGGCCAACAATATCTGTAGGACCTGGGTGTGGGCTGCTGGAGAGGGAGCAGAATCAAACGTAGCTCCTCTGGGAAGAGCTGCCACTGGGAAAGAGGTCAATGCGCTATGAATTCAAAGGTCAGCTAAATTTTAAGGTTTACAAAAGCCAGGTTCCCACCAGGGCTGGTGGCTCAATCGATCAAAAATATGGTCACTACAGTAAAAAGACAAAAACAAAAACAAATCGACAACTACACATTACCTATAAATACTTGACCAGGATCTAGCAATGGTTACCAACAGAGAAAAGAGCCTGATAGCAGAATAGAGTTAATCGAGTCCCCACCCAGATTTTTAAATAACAGGGGAAAAAAAAAAAATACATAAAGTCCCTCCTTCTCACAAAAAACAGATATATTACTTTTAAGTATCTATATATCATCTCAACTGAGAAGTCTCTACGGAGCAAAACCTTCCAGGTCCTGTGCCAGAACGGGTCTGGGTGCCCCACGTGCCACCCAGGGCTTTTCAGAGTAAGAGGGCATTTTGCTTGCTGGTTCTGTGGTTTGTTTCTTAGAGCAGGCAGATTCGCCACTGGTGGTCAGTGCGGAATGGTGAAGAGTTAGGGGAAGGGGAAGAAAGATTAGAGGGGCAGAAGGGGAAGGAAGAAAGAGAGAAATGCATACCATATTGCAAAAACATAGCCGGTATAAAAACCATCAGATTTTCTTTAAGCGCTAATTTGATTTTGGTGGGGTTTCCTCTTTAAAGGAGCAGAGTTGAATGCATCAGTATGAGCAAGGAGATTCACAAGCAAGTGCCTCTGTTTATAACTAACGTCAGCAGTAGGACCAGAGAGTCGTTCTTACCATGTTTCAGATGTAGGCAGCTGTCATTCTGGGACCTGTACCTGCAGAAAATTGTGTCTTTAACAAATTTTTACTGAAGAGGTTTTTGTACATTCCAAATACGTAGTAGCTACAACATCAGGTTGGCTCGTTTGCTTTACTTTCTATGGTTCTTATACCAGCCATTTTTATTTGTGCAGTACAAGTAGTGGCCTTACTTTTAATGAAAGAAAAAGGGGAAATAAATAGGACCTCACTCACTGATGCCTTGAATGAATGTCCGGGAAAGATAAACCCTGCTGTCATCATGTTTTCTACTTTCAGAAAACCCAAACCACAGAAAAGGTAGCATATGATAAAATCAGGATAAAAAACTGTTATTGTAAGGAGTTGTGCAAATGGAAACACAGCAGAAGTGCTACGGAGGGTATAGACAATAAAAGCAAAAACAAGACAAAACACCAACAGGATTCCAGGTGACAGGGTTTGGGGAAGGAATGTGTAGACGTACCTTCACGCACTCACATTGAAAAGAAAGGTCTTTTAAACATCTTTAAAGCATTTCAGGAAGGAAAGCAGAGTTTAAAACATCAGAGGTTACAGTTGCAGAACAAAAGCAGTGTGTCGAAGATGCCGACTACTTTCAAAGGTATTTGTCAGAAGCAGAGAATTGACTAGAAAGTCACATGGTGCCTACCTGATGTCGACTCCTGGAGTTTCTCTCTCTTCCTCTTCTTTTTCTTACCCTGGAAGAAGCCAGGCACATGGTCATGTTACACACTGGACTATGAACACATGGACGAACGGGATACAAATGTACAAAAGGCAAGAAGTCAACCAAGAAGGGTGCCTCATTCTCTCCCTTTCCCATCTACACCTAGACACACAGACCGAGAGAACGAGAGAAAACAAATTGTCACCTCTTTGTGACCTTTGTCCCTACAGCTTCTTATTGAGTATCAGTACTGACAGTGGAAGTGGTTTCCCAAAGCCACGCCAGGCTGAGGAGGTCCTAGGGCCGTGGCACCAGATACCCGTTCAGAGAAAGCCCACTTAAGGAGGCAGCCTATCACTGACCACCACGCTGGGAACCCACTTCCGGCAGTTCATGATCAATCTTCCTTCCGGTGAATTCTACCATGTAATTAAAAGTACATGACATTAGCTGAGGACCTCTTGTCCCCACGGCACAGGTATGACATGATCAAGGATAGTGGCAGCAAGGTAAGATAGAACCTGAGAAAATGGAAGGTAATTTCAAAGGCTGAATTTCTGGCAATCAAGGACCTTGTTTCCTAAAACAGACACGAAAACGTGCAATCTTAAATACATTTGCAAAATCACCTTCACAGATTTACAATTTTAAGTTCCATTTATACTGGTCTACTCTTGTTTTTCTTCATGATTTCCCCTAAAACATCACTGTAATAGGTAGGGCAGAGACACAGTATCTGTTTGATTTACGTGAACAGTAAATGGCCAACCTGGATTAGGATAGTACTTTCAAATAACTTTAACAGAACACATATCTCATCCAATATCTCTATCTTATGGCTGCCGTAATAATCACATGAACAAGGAACAAAACGTAAAACTCTAAGATTACACTGAACATACTATGTGTCTATATTTTTATGCATCTCAGGATAATTTTTCTTCGTGTCACATGACCTTGACCACTGAGGCTTTAGAGCCTAGTAAGGCTGACTCACACTGTCCTCACAAAGAGCAGATATTAGCGACCCTGGAAAATGGCATATCGGAAATAATGGAGTTCTCGTTAACATTATTATTAAAGTACTCTGGGAGAAGGGGAGCAGACAGAGGGAGAGTATGCTTCTCACGGGCTTCCCCGGTCTTCATTTCAAACGGCGTTACTGTGGTTTTCAGAAGATGCTATGACGTTGCTTCATGTGTCAGGAACTTCCTCCTCCCTTTCTCCTCCTAGCTCCCGTTTGCCCTTTAACATCATCTCAAGTGCCAGCTCTTCCAGGAAGCTTCTCGGCTCCACCCCACCTCCCTGTCCCATCCGCCCCTCCCCTCCCCCCTCTGGCAGACCTCACCTCCTCCCAATGCCATAACTGGCTGTGTCCCTGAGCCCCCCTCCAGACGGCCCCTGGCTCCAGATCACAACCTGAGTGTGTCAGCCTCCTCTGCAGCCCTGTGTATGTCCAGCATGTGTGACTGTGGCCTGAGGTGGAGGACTGCCAATGCTTTGTGAAATAGCCTCTACTGTAGTCTAGGTATAAACCAGTGTTATGAGAGAACCAACATTTTATGGTAGACAAAAAGACCGGAGTAGTTTGGATGTACTCGTGTCAACGTACACAAAAAAACTCATTTGTGTGCGGTAAATATAAAAATATTTTTCATTAAAATATTTAATTATAGTTAATACTGGGATTATGAAGCATTAAATTTAAAAGCTCTAATACAAATATCTGACTGAGCTCACCTAAGAAAATATGTGTGCTGCTGATTTATGAAGACTTCAGTTATAAAATCATGATGCTGTAGAATAGAGCATGTTAATATTAAATAGTTGAGACATAATATTTAATATGATCTCAGTAAGGATGAGGATGCATTCTGACACTAACTGCTACGATACAAGACATGTATCTTGTTTAGACTCCATTTCTATGTTGTTATTTTAAGAATAATTAGCTAAAGTGTATCATTTGATTGACTTCTGTTTGCCTTAGTAATTAATAGGCTTATTTTTATTGTTATAAAAAATGATGTAACAAAGCTGGGTTTTCCCTTCATTCCGGGGGATCCCACAATCAAGTTATGTGAAACAATTTCCTTTAAAAATTCTGCAGGAGAAAACCTTTAAAGGTAAATTCACATTATACTGGATTTCTTCAACACTACTTTCTTCTCATCTCTCCATATGGACGAAAGGAGAGAGAGCGAGAGGGACAGAGTATGTATGTGTTCATCTCTTTTTAAAGCTTTATCCTTTACCTAAGGGTCAGAAACAGAACCTTCACTCAAAGACATTCAACAAGCAGTGCTAAATGTATACAAATCCACAGCACAGCTCCTCCGTGGGTCACATCTGCCCAGAAAGATGCTAATTACTGCCCAGAAAACAGAAGCACGGTTCAGGGGAGAGAACTCTTGCCCTAAAGCAGTCTCCTTAAGGCCCCAGAAAGACCGTGCCAGTCTGCTGCACAGAAGGCAAACTGCACAGATTCGGACAGTCCGGGAGGGCCGGGTAATAACCAGCAGCTTAGCCACTACCTGGCCCTGGACCAATGACTTAACCTGTCCGACCCCTCGATTTCCCTCATCTATGAAGTGCAATAACACTGTTTATCCCCCCGAATTATTATGAGGATTAGAAAACATCACAGAAGACACTTAAGACAGTTCTGGACAATAGACACACGGCAGTTAGTACAACGGCCAGACGGCAGCTCACGAGGGTCCGATGAGCTGCTGCTTCCAAGTAACAAAGAGCATGGCCCCTCCTTTCTTCGTCATGGTCGCAGCCACCGTTCAAGCTCCACATCCCCACCAGCAGTGACTTTTTTCAGAGCACGTTGCAGGAAATAAATGTGTTCCCTAAGTCTTGGTGTCCCATTTTATGGGACGTATGACCTCAGACATGCAGCCAACAGGACCATCGCCCCCAAGGGTCACACGTTAAATTAGATATCGATTAACGGCTTCACCTTCACTCTTTTTAGAAGGGACAATTCCTAGACCGAATATTAAAACTGTCCTAGCTGGCTTTTCTTTTTTTTTTTTAATTTTTTTTTTTTTAATGTTTGTTTATTTTTGAGAGAGAGGATAGAGCACAAGCCGGGGAGGGACAGAGACAGAGAGAAAGGGAGACACAGAATCCGAAGCAGGCTCCAGGCTCTGAGCTGTCAGCACAGAGCCCAATATGGGGCTCAAACTCATGAATGATGAGATCATGACCTGAACCAAAGTCAGACGCTTAACCGACTGAGCCACCCAGGCACCCCCTGGCTGGCTTTTCTAATGCCAGGCTCACATGGAGCACGAAAGTGATCTATAAAATTTTAAATTAGGAGCTTAAATAATCAAAACTGTTCCCTTCCATAAAATATAAAACTGAAATATATAATTTATAATACACTTTCTCAGTAATAGTCTTTGCTATATCAAGACCACGTTAGTAAATTGTTCAAATTCTAAAGTAATAAAATAAAGTAAGGCCCTATAAATGGGGTATTTTTGGCCAATTAGTATAACTTAAAAAAATATAATACCTATTCCATCTGAATAAAATACATAATAGATATCAAGGTATGTTAAAGTGAAACAAAAAATTTTTTTAATTTTATTTTTGAGACGGCGAGAGAAAGAGAGAGAGTGAGCATGAGCAGGGGAGGGGCAGAGAGAGAGGGAGACACAGAACCTGAAGCAGACTCCAGGCTCTGAGCTGTCAGCACAGACACCAACGCAGGGCTTGAACCCGTGAACCGTGAGATCATGACCTGAGCTGAAGTCAGACACTTACGGACTGAGCCACCCAGGCGCACCTCCCCGCCAAAATTTTTTTAATCCAGTTTTGATTAGCCTGTGGCAAAACAGTCACTTGAATATATTCTTTTTAAGAACTGTAAAATAATATCCTTTTGAAAAGAAATTTGACAGTGTCAAAGAGCCTTTAAAATATATTAACTCAACAATTGCACTACTGTGAATCTATCCTACAGAAATAGCAGCCCTAAACACAGAAAAAAAACTGTTATGCATGGATACCTTCATTGTAGGATTATTTCCAATCACCAAAAAAAAAAAAAAAAAAAAAAAAAAAAAAAAGCAACCTAAATGTCTAAAAAACAGGAAAAAATCGCTAATTGTGATATTCACTCAAAATACTATATAGCCATTAAAATCAATATGTAGAAACACTATGCCATAACAGAAAAATGCTTATTATATATAAGAGCAAGCATGACACAAAAGTGTATGTTATACCCACACGTACTTATATCCAAGTAAAAAAAAAAAAAAAACATATACGCAGAAAAAAATACCTGGAAGATACCGTAACTAGTCATTACTAATGTTGCCTTTACATGAGGAGATTATGGGCTTTTTTTTTTTTTTTTTTTTTTTTTTTTTTAATTTTTTTTTTTCAACGTTTATTTATTTTTGGGACAGAGAGAGACAGAGCATGAACGGGGGAGGGGCAGAGAGAGAGGGAGACACAGAATCGGAAACAGGCTCCAGGCTCTGAGCCATCAGCCCAGAGCCCGACACGGGGCTCGAACTCACGGACCGCGAGATCGTGACCTGGCTGAAGTCGGACGCTTAACCGACTGCGCCACCCAGGCGCCCCGATTATGGGCTTTTTAAAAAAATCTTTTTCAACATTTAATGGGAAGGTTTTTTTGGATTAAAGTTTTACCTAAAAAAATGTACTATATAACCAAAGGAAAAAAAAATCATGATTGCTCAAAGCTTGCAAATATATCCAGGAAATCTTTATTATGAAGTTCACTAACTTCCAAAAATAGGAAGTAGTACCAGCAATACATATACAGTAGTCCCCACCTGCCTGTAATTTTGCTTTGCATGGTTTCAGTGGCCCCAGTCAACCAGGGTCTGGAAGCAGAAGGTCTTCCTCCAGACATAGCGTCAGAGGGTCAACAGTAGCCCAACACAACATCACAGCCTAAGTCAGTCACCTCGCTTCATCCCATCACACAGGCATGTTGTCATCTCACATCATCACAAGGAGGATGAGTGCGGTACAAGAAGATTTACTGCTAATCGCTCACTGTGCCTAATTTACAAACGGTATCATAGGTGTGTGTGCACAGAAAAAAACGTATCTACAGGGTTCAGTACTATCCGTGGTTTCGGGCATCCACTGGGAGTCTTGAAACGTATCCCTGTGGGTAAGGGGTGATGGGGGGGGGCTACTGTAGCCTGAAACACATTTCCCTCACAAAAGTGGCCGAAAGAAAGAATGGGTGAGAGGAGAGAGCTGTTGGTAGGATGAAGAAGGAGCTTACATAATTGTCTCTTGCAGACCAGCCTGGATAGAGCTGCATATGTAGCTGTCTTTCCTTCCGTGCTAATTCATAATATTTAGCCTGCTCTTCACGGGAGAGGGCATGCCACTAAAACAAAAAGAAGAAGGGAAAAAAAAATTAAATGAAAGTAAAATAGCAACAATATTATATATTTCATGTTTCAAACATTCAAGAATGAAGATAATAAGCACTTAGACTCTGATTTATTTTTAAATGGCAGAAGAGCAAGAGCGGCAGAAATCCACTTGGGAGTCTGGTGGCGAGAGTGAAACTCAAACTTTGCTCTCTCTATCCTGTTCTCCAGTATCACATGAAACACATCAAAGGCAATTAAAGAATCCGAAGTAAAATGATCTGTCACTCACCCTCTTTTCCAATATAAATTGGAGAGAACTTTCACTGGTGACCTCAACACCCAACTCAGCCCTTTCTCATAGTTTGTACCATATTCTGATATTTGAGACTGAGCACCATGTATTTATGCAAAATGTGATAAGTTCCAGATGTCTTTTCCACCCAGATGCATCATCACCTCACACGGACACTTCCCACTCTGTCATATGAAGAGTCTGAAACCTTCATCCTATGAGCCAGTCTACAAAGCAAGACCTCAAGTCAGTCTGTCTGATTCCCCTCACCCTCTCCTCCTACTTGTAGAAATCCCACTGTCTAGAGGGAGCACACGGACAACCCCGTACAACTGCACGTGTACTCCTTACGGCTATGGTTTTAGCTTCCTTCTGATGGGAAGCAAGGAGCGTTGTCCAGGGTTATTCTGCCATCTAGAAGCTGACCCTGTAGTATCTAATTTAAAGAACGTAAGGGCTGATACCCTGCAAACTTTCCATGTCCCTTTTACTAGTTGCCATAATTATGTATCACAGTAAAACAGCTTATGTGGGCAAGGCATCCGTTTGGGAATTTAAGTGGCTTATGTTTGCACACAACTTGCTCCAGGTCCCCTGGCAGGCAGTTTTCAAGTATTTTCCCCACTTCTTCAATGCCAGGATTTACCAGTGAGCCTTCTGGGAGGAACGGCTGGGCACTGGAGGGACCAACTGGCCAGAGGGGATGGCACGGAGGCACGGGAGAACAGACCTGACCCACACCACACACGCCCACGTTCTGGGTTAGCTCCCGCCTCCCCACTCCTGCTCACCCCCAGCTCTAGGGTGCTAGGAGATTCTTTCCCATTCATGGCTGCCCTGCCTATTGATTTTAATTTCCCTGTCATAGTTTTAAAAAGTAAGAGAAAAGAAAGGTGTGGCTAAACTGGGGAAAGGATGGAGGAGTGAGGGAGAGAGGCGATGAGAGAGAAAGAGTTCTCCTGGAAGAGACTAAGTCCTCCTCAGTTTGGACCCGGCTACTGCGATAAGGCTAGGCAGCGTTCCTCAAGGAACAAACACCTGCTGCTCCCATTTCTTAAAAGACCAGGAACCCAATCTCAAGAGCACTTCAAGCACCTTCTGCCACATCCCACCCACCTCCCACTCCAGCCTCCGACACAGGCAGTGCCCAGGGGCAGGGCAGGGGATTCTGGCTCCTCTGGAACCAGTGCTTCTGTGCCTGGGCCTCTGCGTTGGATAGGCCAGACGGCTTATTTTTTAATTGCTTTAGAGGTGCCGAGTATCAAGTAGCTAAGAAGCATGACTCACAGCAGGACTTGGTCCCGCTTGAAGGCAAATCAGGTAGTATGTTTTTCTTTTAAAAAATGATGGAGGCAGGCACTGGGGAGGCGGCAAGAAAAAAAAAAAAACCTGAAAAAAGCTACGTGAGACACAGTTCTTTGTACTAGCAGAGTAAGCACAATTAGCAAAATCAAGCCGAAGAAGGAGGCATGTCTGGGGCAATAGTGTGAGTTTGAACCAGGCTTCTACCAACTGCTGGCTTACCTAAGTCTGGAACACTGACCCAGTGCTAGAGACTTACACAAGAAGGGAAACCAAACTGGACACAGTGGAAAAGATCAGCCTTGACTGTTTGTTTGTTTTTGAGAAAAGACTAACCATCAATATCTACACAGTTCTGGTGCTAAATATGATTGGCAAAATGTTAACCAAAATGTTAACCAAAAAGGAACAAACAGGGAGACAAAAAGGGGAAAAAAAAAGTAAAAGCATGCTTTTTATAAATGTGTTTATTCATTTGACAAGTCAGAGTGCTCTTATACCAATGTAATATATATCAGTATAATTTCACACAGTTTATGGCAGCTTTATAACTTGTTGAGAAAACCTGGAATAAGTTTTATAAAACTTCTCTCTCAAAATACGTATGGAGGTTGGGTCTTCCACGAAATCAACCAGTTATTTTTCAGCTAAAACAGGACACAGGTTGACAAAACTGAGCAAAATGCAAGGAGAAAAAGCAGGCCACAAACTATATACTTGAATTTCCAATTGCTTTTAGTTCCCTGCTATTTCTAATGCATAAAATCTACCCACATATAAAAGACCATTTACCAGAGTAAAATGGTGGGTAAAGCAATGATGTTAAGGCTTTATTAATGTAAACGAAAACAAAAAAAATCTAGTACAAACTAGAAAGATAGTCTTTCTTTATAGGAATTTCTGCAACACAATGAGCTATAAAAATACTTTTCTATGTCTTGCTTATACTGAAAATTTGAGTTAATCTTTTAAAAAGCCAAATTTCATTCTCAAGATGTTGTTGGGAAAATACTCATTTAACTTGGAAAAAAAAGTTTATCGTTCCAACATAAAAAAAAATTCTGACAATAAATTTGCAATAAATGGACTTCCTTTAACACCCTGGAAGGTCTGAAAAGGCTTATTTTAAATTAAGATTTGTACTATTATTATTTATAACATGAAAAAGAAAACCTTAATTCAAATGACTGAACATTTCTTTTTTGAGATATGTTGATGATGAATAAGAATCAAAAGATAAAATGTTCTAGGATGGATTTAAGTTCCACCTTTAAGAATTCTAATTATCTCAGTGTAAAACACATGATTTTAAAGCCAGGAACTTTAAAGAAACAGCAAGGACTACCCTGCCAGAGGGAAGTGATGAGAGGACAGAAAACCTGATCTTAATCAGAGATCTCAGAGACCTATAAATAGAAACAGGTGTCCAAATCAAAGACAGAGAGAGACCCCAAATGAGAACCATCCTTTAGGACACACGCTCTGATCTGGGGATCGTTAAGGGAGCTGAGAAAGTAGCAATTGTTGGAAACGTGCATTAAAAATAGGAAGCAAACCTCCGTATAATATCCTTACTTGCTCTCTTGAGCAGGAAAATAATTCCCACTGGAGGGCCAGGGGACCTTTAACTCAAAAAAGAAAAAAAGCTGAGAGTTTTATTCAAACTGAAAGAAGCACATCAACTCTTCTTTCCCTCCGGTTTCTTCTTTTAAAGGGTCAGGGGAATGGTCATCGGCCTTTAAGCTTTTAAGGTGAGGTTCCTCAAAGATGATGGGAATCATTTATCTGCTACGCTCTGGCTTGGGAAATCATTGTAATTATTGTTATTAAGTGTTTAAGAATCCACAGGGAGGGACAGTATTATACACAGGGCACCAAGAGAGCTATAATCTGCCACCACACCCTACCCCCTGAAACCCAGGTGTCCTGCAGATTGGAAATAACTGCATTTTTATTCTATCCAACAGGAATCAATAATGCAAGTAAGCTGGCTTCCCTCCATCTGTTCACATGGCCTGGAAACCTCCTGAATGTCTTATGTTACAAATGTTGAAGCTTATTAGGTTTGTATCAAACATGGTAAAAATTATCCACAACAACAGCTAAAACACCATCCTCTAAGTTTCACAAAGGTTGTCAGACCTTCTTTGCCTAAATGTTCATTTACAAATCATGAATTCCTTGAGAGGCTGCAAAAAACAAATACACGAGGTCGTGATTTAAGTAGCTATCACACATATATGAAGAGCATCAACAAATTAAAATGAAGCATTTCTAAAATTATAATTTCCCCACCATTCGTCAGATACCTAACGTTTTAAAACCATTTCAACCCTGAGAAAAGCACCTGGAAAGATTTACTAGCCTATGGGCCCGGTGGATGGAGAAAGAAAGTGTCCGTCCTACTTGTAGCCTACTTCCTGGTATACAGGTGATCTGAAAGATATCTTGGCATGGGTAAAAGAAGGAACGAAAAGAAAAGGGACAATCCAGAAATCATGCACATACACTTTAAGAACCAGAGAGCAATTTTTCTAGAATAAAGATTTCTCTGGCCCATATAAATTCTTCCAGTTAAAAGCTTCTGAGTAGAACAGATCCACTTCTGTCTTGGAAGGAGTGGCCACATGCATTTGCCAGGGTTCTTGCAGAAGCTTGGCTGGTACTACATGGCCTTTCTATAGCTCCCTATGTGGGGCTAAGAGCTTTCTTGCTTCAGACGGTTGTTCACACACCTGTCACTGCACCTGGGGAGGGTCCGTCCATCTCTCCCCACTAATCACTTGGTTAACTTCTACTCCTCATTCAGGTCTCAGTTTGAATACTATTTTCTTAGAGGGGCCCTTCCCTAGCTCCCTGTTACTCTTTCTCATAGTCTTACTCTTTACGTTCACAGTATTTATCACAATTTTAATTAACCACTGGGTAATTATCTAATATCTGCATCCTGTCACAAACCTTTAAGTTTCATGAAGACAAAGACCATATCTATTTTATCCAGCAATTATTATCTAATGCCTACCAGAGTACCTGGTACATGAAAGACACCCAATAAATGATAACAGGGGGAATGGTTAACATTTACGGGAGGTTTTCTATGTGCTAGGTACAATCTAAGTTGCTTACGATGCACTCTATCATTTAATTCTCCTAAAGATTATTAGCCTATCTTGTTCTGTTACTTCCCAAAGTGGCTGGTGATTATATAAATACATTCTATGACTACCTTTAAGGAAACAGTTCCAAGGTCACCATAAAAATTTACATATCCGCTCACCCCCAGACTACTTACCCTTCTGCCCAGAATCTGGTTGATAGCTGCACTTTCTTTTAGAGTACACTCAGCTACAACATTCGCTCTCATTTCTTTCATGTATAACATAAAAGCGTTCAGAGGCTTCTTAATGTGAGGTCTTTTTGGCTCCTGTTCCTTTCTCTGTTCATGCTGAGGCTTCCTAAAAGGTGGTTGGGATGATGTGGGGGCAGGGGGCGGGGAGGGACAGAGGAAGGAAGAGATGGGAGGAGAGAAGCAGAGCACCTGTTCATGTCACCAGTCAAAGTCAGGCCAGGGATAACCCTCTAGAAGGGTTGTCAGAACAGCATTCACTTAGAAGAACAACTCATTGGGAGTAAGGATCCTTTGGTTTGAGAAAGTTTACCTATAGTTATGGAAGTGTTTGACACAAAATGTAAAAGGGTTTGTGAAGATGCTCCATCTAGGACCCTGAGGCTGAGCTCCTTGGTTATCTCAGGAAAAGCTGAACACATAGTATGGGTAGTTATTCCTCTTTCAGAACTGAGGTTCTTAACTTTTTTAGGTCAAGGGCCCCTTTGAGAAGCTAATGAAACTCTAGACTCACTCCCCCAAACAAATGCATGTTGGCTTTGCCTACATGTGCAGGGGTTTTATGGACTATCATATGCACCCTGCTACCCCAACCTCCCATCCTAGTCTACAAATCCTAGATTTAGAAACTCATTCACTAATCTCTTCAGGGAATTTAGTCCTGCTCTAACAGCCTGGGACAAACCCTGGCCCGACTGGGGGATCCTAGGCTTGGTTGTCCCTTTCCCTTGAATTCTGTGCTTTCGAAGCCTCAAGCAGGGTGAAGTGCGTGTCCAGAAGGAAATACATGGAACTTTCCGGCCTACTTCCCTCTGGTACCATCAGGTGCTCCCCAACAATCAGAACCCAATTTAAAACTTGGTAGTAGCTTTAGCAGCTCAAGATTATTCAATGCCCACACTCTGAAGATTACTCTGTTTTGGTGAGATTCCCTTGATCTTCTGGGGTCTGTGCTCCTTTCCAATCTTAAAATCAGCACAGTGAGAATCAAGCTGCCTAAACTCCTCAGGGTCAGAACTTTCAAGGCAGAGCTACACTGATTTTCATACTAAAAGAGAGGGGGAGATATTCAACGGTAGCAGGAAGAAACTGTGTTTAAATCCTCACAGTATCTTAAGGTATTCATAGGTGAAATCAGATGTGTACTCACACGTGCATTAGGTCACTGTCAGTGTGGGGATGTTCCTGTTTGACCTGAGGCGTTACGATAGCTGGATGAGGGATGCCAGTTGTGTGGGGACCAGGAGGACCAGGAATCATATGATGGGAAAACCTAAAAGAAGGAAAGGAAAGAAAGCATATGTACTAGTGGCTGTTGTAGCAAAAGGAGGCAGAACCCTGAAACATTCTACTAACTGCTAATGACTGAGAGTGAAAACACATCTTTATACACAGGAGTATTAACTACGAATTGGAGTGGGCCAATAATTAATTTCTTTCTGTATTCAGGTGGAAAATATTTATACTTATTCCTCATATAACAGGGTTTTTTTTTGTTGTTGTTGTTGTTTTGTTTTTTCAAACTAATAGAATCTGACATTTTTCCTGGGAGGGCTCTAGGTCCTAGAATTTAAAAAAAAAAAAAAAAAAAAAAAAAAAAAAAAAAAGTGACTTTTCTTGCAAAGCAGTTTTTAAAGAAGGATTCCAGTTTAGTGTAATTGCTGGAAATATAACACTTTATTAGGATTTAGCTTTTTAAATGATTTTTAAATAATAGCTAAAGACACCACATTAAAATATCTCTGCGTACATTCCTAAGCAAACCACCACATTAAATAAATCTTCTCATATTGTTGGCTTCTTTATTGATAGTAGGAGACAATGAGAAAACAAAGGACTGGAAGGGTTTTTGTTTTTTGTTTTTTTAAAGCCCCCAATTTAATAAAGTTGCCATCAACATCATTGAAAACAATCTTTTACACAGAAAGTAATGTTTGAGAGATCTAGCCTTATGGAAAATTGATAAAATTAAGGGGGAGGATACAGTTCTGCACCAGGTAAAAACTACGCATGCTAAAGGCTTTTCTCCCTAGTATGCTAAAGAGCATAAAAATTTTTTTTTTTTAAATATCCACCACCACACAAGCCAAAGGAGGGTAACTGCCATGCAAGAAAAATAAAAGAGAGTACTTTCAATAAACGCTTTGGATAAATTTGAACATCCTGTCGAAATTTTTGCTTTTCAAACTGCTTTAAAGTTAACATTTAATTCAACAAGAACAATGTTCTCAGATCTTTTATCACATCCAGCACAATTAATTCCTTCATCTGGGAGGGAAAGAAGGCACTCCACTTGGATCAGAAACAAATTTTTAAAAATTAAGGAGGCATGGGAAAAATACAAATATTTGATTAAATAATGATGCTCTGCTACTTGGATCGTTTGCAAAGATACATGATGCTGGTTATTTGCATGGGAGAAAATCCTGTCATCACAGAGTTCTTACGATGTTAAAAGGGGTAAAAATATATTTGGGGGGGAAAGGTATTAACTTCATGCCCTCCCAACAAGCTAGATTTCCAAGTTGCTGAGCAAATAATGATTTTTTTAAAAAGCTGAAATCCACCCCAGAACTTGCGAAGTTCATACCTATGTAAGTAAAGATTCACGACCAGTTAGCAGCCCAACAGTTTGACTTCCAGCCCAGTACGGCTAGCTCCCCTGGACAAGCCACAGTGAACACACAGATGGTGCACAACAAGTGTGTGTGTACATCAAGCACAGGGCACAGACGCCATCCTCTCCAGAAGCAGAAGCATTACACAGAGCAGTGTGGCATGGCAGATCTCACAGAGCTTCGCTTGAACTAACATGTCCACACAGGGCCTGATTCACACACTAGGACACACACCCCGGATGGCCTGACAGCTCATAAGTGCCATTCATTCTCTTCTGACAGCCTTGGTCCAGGAAGGCTCTAGACTACCTGGGCATTTTCAAACACTGTCGCATTAAGCTGCTACAACTTTCCTCCAAGAAAGCAAATTACAGAACTCAGACCAAACCAGTCTTTATCCTTCCCCCTTCCCCCACTCCCAGAATATTTTGAATCAAACAAGCTCTTCTTATAATGTCTGCTTTCAGGACATTTCACATCCCACAGTCAGGAGGCAGTAAATTCTTTGGGACGCACAGTGTGGTGTGGCCGAGTCCATCTCCCTGAGGGGTGTGGCTGTGCTGGTGGGGTGCAGCGTTTGGCTCCTACCCAGGAGTCTCTGCGACATCTAGTGTGGGAGCCAGGCACACTGCACAGACAGACACGTGGCTGAGGTATGCACCCTCCTAGCCAACCGAGAGGCAAGCAGAGGCGCACACAATGCAAGCGCAGGAAGAGCAACTTGTCCTGGGCCCAGTTTCCGCCTCCACCTACCTGGACATGGAAGTGTCGACTGACAGTGAGGATGGGTAGGGTTGCCTGAATCCTCCCGTGATGGGATATACAGGCTGACCTTGCCTGAGGTCACAGAAGAAAGGAACCCATCAATGACAAAACACGAGTTACCAACCAGCAATAAGAGTTTGATGAGGGGAGAAGAGGGAGGGCTTCAAAAGAACTGTGTTGGGGTATTACAGACCACGGCATTTCTGCAGTCATCCAATGGCTTCCCTTCTTAACCTCCACCTGATCAAAGCATCATTTACCTTGAAGAGCTCCCACCCTCAACTTTAAAAACAAACCAGCCCATGAATTACCCTTCACCCCTTTCTCTCTCCCAGCCCCACTGATGCTCTGAACAAAACAGGCATGTGACAAATGTTTACGGAGTGTAACGGAACTGTGAGAATGGGGAGTACTCCTTTCAGAGTTTTGAGAACTTCAGGGAAGGAATGAGGGAAGGGAATGAAATTGATATAAAAATGAATAAACATTTTAAAAGCATTACACTCCCCCTACACTTTCGTATACTTATGCTACAGTCAAGAAATAAAAGATCAATTAATTGGAATTATTCCCTCTCCACTGTGAGAATTCCATCTCTCTTGTTTTTTTCCCACATCTCACATTTCTCATTTACACCATCTGTATTTCCAGCCTCCACTCAGCACAGGATTATTGCCACTAAGTAGTAAGTTCAGACAGAATAGTTGATGTAGGTTTGAAGGTGTATGCATAATCAGTTAAACAGTTATTGACTGAGAGATTTAGTGCTAAATAGAGACAGACAGACAGACAGCTGGAATTTCCATGGCAGGATGACACCTTCTTGCTGAAGAAGAGAACATAAGGGTGTCGAGTTAGGGAGACTGGGGCAAGGATAGGGGGCCTTGGGGATAGAGGACCAGATCAAGAAAGGAGAGGGTCCATTTCCTAAAGCTGGTGCAGTGTTTCTGTGGAGAGAGCAGTGGGGAGAGGATAAATGAAGAAAGGGTGGGGGGAAGCTGTGTGCTAATAGTAAGATGATAAAAATAGGCTACACTAAGCCTTTCTTCCAAAAATATATTTCCTCTCCTTTACCTTTATAATTTAAAAATTTTTGAAAACAGCAGTAAGAATTTTTTTAGACATAAACAAGAAAACAGAAAGTGTTTGCATTCTGAAAAAAGGAAGTCCAAACATCAGTTTTTCACTTGTCTGAACTCAAACTGGTGCTTACTTTATTAACATTCAAACGATGCTTTTGTAGTTTTGAATTTCTAGTTATTTGTCATTTACTTCACCTGCTCATTTTATAAGCAATGTGTCTAAGTTTGTTTCAAAAATAAGTTGTTCATAAAAAACTAGACAAGAAAAACCACACTGAGCACTCTGTACAGGCATAGCAAGTGCCCAAAGCCACAAATTGAATCCATAAACCTATAAGCTTCAAAGCAAATGCTACATAGTCATTTTCTACACATATTAGCAAAGGCATTCAATCCATTTCAAAGTCTGTATGTTTTTCAATCTTTCAAATTGAAATGAAATAAAGTTAGCACCTTGCTTGTTGATGTGAAATTTCTTCAACTCTGCAAGTGTTATCATTCATAAAGCTAATTTCCATGAATGGAAAGAAAAACATGTGTTCAAATGCCTGACTGAAGGTTGCAGGAAGGATCTTACCAGCCAAGAGGTGGGGTAATCTGTCCAACACCACCTGGAGACAGAGGATAAAAGGTAGGGATCTCAGGAGCTGGAGGATGTCTGGACATGCCTGTTCAAAAGAACAATGAAGGAGTAGAGTTTTCAGATTCACAGAACATTTGACTCTAAGGATAACAGAAAAGCAATAAAGTACTTTATGCCATTAATACTTAAGGTCTAGCACCAAACAATGTTTACCGGATGCATTTAATTGAAGTCTGTTAGCTTTTCTCAAGATTTCAAAATGTGAGAAATCACATCTTAAGATAGGACATCCTGAGGAACTCTTGAAAGAGTAAGTATGCTCTGTGTGACCATAATGAGATTTTCAAATTTTTTAGTTTGCCCTCATTATTTCACTTTGGTTAGGAAAATGGTAGACAATTGTTTTTGTGTAGAATGGAAAATGACAGCCTTCCTAAGTAGATGGCCTGCCATGACGCTCAAGGATTAGGTAAATTGCCACTTTCATATTTCCATTGGCTCCCTTACGGACACATAGATTTGGGAAATGTGATACCTCGGAGGATCAAAGATTAATTAGGAATCATCTTCAGCCCCATAACGGTCACACTTGATATGATTCATTTGGTCTCTGCCACTTCAGCTCCAACTAAGCTCTTCATCAAGTTGAGTCCTCTGGGCTCCAAGGTCAAGCTGTTCTGGATTAGTTGTATTCCACAGAAAATGAGAATGCCACCAAATTGTTTCTTGAGCTCACAGTCCCTGGGGTACACTGCCCTATAACTGTAAAAACCACCTAAAGATTATACCTAATCCCAGTCCCAAATGACATCTCTTTGTTTATATTCTACCTTGGGTGTAGAAAAGAAGGGATACATGCATAAAAATGCAAAACATAAAAACCTAAGATTCGGTGCATTTTGGGGAAAGTGATTCTGATTAGGAAAAAAGCCACAAAAGTTTCTTTATATAGTTCATCTGGCCTAAAAAGCCCACTTCCATACATAAGCACACGTTTCCACATTTAACACCCAGATATGCATTCAACGGTTATGTTCAGACCAACATGTGAAATTAGGTGAGCACATGAAAGATGCTCTTTAATTATTCTGTTTTTACTGTTTAAAATGCCTATGAGTTTCATTTGGGTCTTAAAAGATATTTAAGGTCTTGAACATATGGGAATGACTTAAGTGTTGTCTTCAAAGTGGATGTTAATTTGACTCTGAAGTTAGGATAAACTATTTCTCAACTCTCATAGGAAGCAAGTAGGAAGAAGGTTTTTAATCCCTCAACAGCTTACATGAGATTATCTCATTTTTGCTGTTTTTAAAAGATTGTCTCAAATCCCTCCCCTTTTTGGCTAGAAATACCACTGCTTATGGGTCACAGTGGACCCCAAATTTCATACTCTGGGATTTTTTTTTTCTTGGGCCTGAGGAAGTTCAGACAGTGGGGTGAATCTAAGGGAGCCTACAGTGATGATTCGTGACATCGGATTCACTGGGGAATTTCTCCAACATGCTGCCCCCCACCCCCGAGATCCAGAAACCTCCCCAGATATTAGGGTCTGCAGCGGGACTGCTCAGTTTAAAAAGAAAAATCAGGGGCGCCTGGGTGGCGCAGTCGGTTAAGCGTCCGACTTCAACCAGGTCACGATCTCACGGTCCGTGAGTTCGAGCCCCGCGTCGGGCTCTGGGCTGATGGCTCAGAGCCTGGAGCCTGTTTCCGATTCTGTGTCTCCCTCTCTCTCTGCCCCTC